GTCCTTTGAATATGAGAGGACACAGATGAAGAGGACAGAGGATGATCCCAAAAGACCCTTGAGATGGCCTTGTTCTTTATTAAAGGGTAGTGTGACAATGGAAATACATGATGCTTTATATGCTTTTCCCTTTTTAAAATCTCAGTCAAATTACATTAATGACCAGTGGAGCAGGAAGTCTCAGAACAACGGTGCGCCCAAGGTCGTGGACTTAGAAATTTACGGAAGACATGTCAGTGGTTTGATCACAAAATCATATCGATAATTTATCACTCAATCGAAATGGTGGGAAACTGAAGTGAATTTGTAGGAAATGAGAGCAGAAAATCACAAGTTGTAATCAGATCGAGAGGCTACAGTATATTGTCTCCCAGTATTCGTTCACATAGCAACACAGCATTTAAAAATCGTTTAAATAACAATCAACGGGTTAAATTCTTATGTATTAAATACTTTTCAACATTGCCTTTTTTAAAATTTGTATTTCAGTTTGGCTTATAAAGTCCCAGCAGTAACTTGTTTTCGAGTGTCTTCTCCTTTTACATATCACTGCCCAAGATATTATTGCACTGATAATTGAGAGTCAATGCTCTCAAATACACTGTTGGTGTAGAGTTTTATTTTTGCTTTAACCAGAGGCTGAGGGGAGAACCTCCAGGCATTCCTTGAAGGGGCTCAGTCACAGAGCCTAATGGAGGACTGTTAAGGATGGTGGTTCAGACCTCAGACTCCAGGCTTGAAACCCTACCCCAGGGCTTTGGCACATAGGGACTGTTGACTCTTCGCGCAACCAACACCTGCCTCCGGTCTCTAGGCCCAGAGCCTGGGTCTTCCCTCTTTCCTGTGCCATCGTAGGCCCCAAACATATTGTTGTGGTAAACCATCTGCCTGTCACTCATACGAGGCAGCATTGCTGCATTGTCTGGGCAGTGGCTTGTACAGGGAAACAAGTGGCACATGTCCTTGGAACTGTTGTAGAACTGGGACGGTCCCTGAGCCAGTGGCCCCACGTACACTGGTAAGTCTGTGTACGAGTTCAGGTAGGTGGAATAGTGTCTGTGCACCACTGTGGAGGAAGAACGGCGCAGGGCGGCTGCGTTCTGCAGAATGGCTTCCCTGTAAGAGGGCAGCCGGGTGGACTCGGAGTACTTGAGCTTTTGCTTGTAGGGGTAGGAGCCCATGTGGGCTGGGTCCAAGTAGGCTGGCTCAGCAGCCAAAGGGTAGCAGGACAGGTTGTGCCCCAGACTGCCATATAGCTTGTGGGGTTTGGGGTTAGCCACTACCACCCGTGGAAACAGGTCAGGCATGTCTCCTCTGGTCGGGGGAGATGTGGATGTCGAAGGCTTTGTTTCATCTACCTGATGGATCCTGTCATTGCCCCACGTGGCTTTGAGGAATGAGGCGCGGCGGTTCAGTTTGTCCTTTCCGAGGAGTGGTATGTCATCCATGTCGGGTTCCAGGTAGGACTTCATGCAGGAGTTGCAGCTGGTGCTGCCACTAGGGTAGTGTCCTGCGGTGCAAGGCATGGCAGCTGCATTGGAGGCGTGGTTGCTTAGGAGGTGATTTGCTCTCAGCTCGGCGAGGCAGGTTTGAGGTCCATCGTAATCACCTCTTACTCTTGGGTCTGCAGCATCAAACACATAGCTGTGGGACCTCCTCCTGCGGCTCACACAGTCAGGGGGGTAGCTGAACTTCCTCCTCAGGGGTGCTCTGTGTTCCATGTAGATATCTGGCATCTGGAAGTCCCTGTAAGTTGCAAAAGGAGAGATGGGGTGACGGGCTTGGTTCTCCACATACAGCCTGCTGCTGGGATGGGGGTTTGACGGTCCGGCAGGAGAAGGATCCCTTATGGCGATGTGAGGGCTGCTGAGACTGGAGATGGGCAGAGTCCTCTCTAAGATGTGCTGACTGCTGCGGGCGGGCAGTGTGTACCGGAGTGGGGTGGGTCGAGTTACCACCCGGGGCTTATCCAGGAGGGTTTGGGATGAAGAATCCCCG